ACCTCGGAAAAAAAAAACCCCTCCGCCGGTTTAGGGTTTAGGGTTTAGGGTTTAGGGTTTAGGGTTTAGGGTTTAGGCTTGAGGCATGTCTCAAACGGCCCATCAGCATTCCCAGCACGTAAGCCGTTTGTCAAGCCATCAGTCCTGTACAGGAGGCAACGAGACACACTCAATGGTTGTCGAAGCAAGGATGTTTCTCGGTGGAGATGTAGGATCCGTATCAGATGATCATTTCCCGACATAAAAGCATTGACACCAACCGATTACATAGATTGTAAGAGGAGCGGCCGTAGTAGTCTTCGTCGTAATAATGGTGGTGCTACGACGACGACGACGAGGACGATCGTGTTACTACTCGTACTATGCATGGCAGCCGTAAAGGAACGTCAGACCCCAGACCTAAAGCCTAAGACCAAAGCCTCCAAAGCTCAAGACCCCAAGCCAACAAGCCCAGCCCCGGTAAGACGCAGGGAAGAAGATCTTTCCCCACTCCAACTTCGGAGGTGCCGTGGCAGATGTGATGTGCTGAGGGTTTAGGGGTCCAAGGTTTGGCGCTTAGGAGTTTAAGGCGCTGGAATGTGGGTTATAGGATTCAGGGGTTTTGGGAAACCCTTGGCCTAAACCCTAAACCCTAAACCCTAAACTCTAAGCCTTAAACCCGAAACCCTAAGCCTAAACCGTGTAGGTGTTCATGGTTCTTGTTTTTTTTGGGCTCGGGGTTGACCAGAATACCAGGAAGTCAACTTAAGCCCCCAGATGAAGATTCCGTATTCAAGTGCAGTCGAAGATGTAGCTTGATTTCTTACCTAAGGGGGCTTACAGCATCTCACATGTTGTAACATGTTGGAAAAATCGGAGTTATCAGTCTCGTTGCAGAATCTGAGTAATGTTATAGTCATCATAATCGAACTAGTCCTCGGATTTGTTAAACTTAGTTTGGGTCAGCTGGGGAGTTGGCAATGGCTGGACACTCAAATCCTGCACGGCAGATCAAGTCGTATGACAGGCTCACTCTCCGCAGCGCCAAACTACCTGTTACTACCTGTTTTTGTTCAAGAACCCAGAAGCCGCTACACCTGATTTTCCTGGTGTGCCAGCTCAGGTCTCTTCCCTGAAGACTTGGGTACGCTCTTCCCGTGGGAGGCCTTCTTCCTTGGAACGCAGCGGGACTACCTCATGAAGGAGGCCCGTGAGCTTTGAGAACTACTGTATACTGACGTATTTATGCATACATGTAATACTATAGCGATGCTAAGCCCTAAACCGAAAACCTTAAACCCTCAACCCACAACCTTAAACCCTAAACCCTAAGCCCTAAACCAATAGCAGTTTCCTTCTCGGCTTCTTGTTGTAGGCGCTCCCTGGCAGATGCAGGAGCTGGTGGCTGGAGTGCATGGCGTGGAAGCCAGGTATCCCTTCCTGGATCGCATGGTGGTTCAGGAGTCGCGTAGTTGCAGCATGTGCAATTTGTTGCCCTTTTCACGGACATTACCTTGTATATTGTATGTGTGTTATTTGTATATCCGGTGATCACAAGACTGCCGCCCTGATCTCCGCATGTGGCCATGGCAGTAGGAAGACTAGACGGGACATCTTTGGTCAAGGCGGACCCAAGGGTGGCATTCCCTTGCTCTTCGAAAATCTCTCGGCCACCCGCCTACCTCTGCCGCTCCGATATAAGCATTTGGGTGTGCAACAGATGCCCCTGGGAGGGATGCTCGAGGAGCTCCGTTTCCGCACCTCCCAAGCACGCAGTGCTTTTGCTGAGGCGAGACGCAAGGTCTTCCGCTCCAGAGCCATCCCTTTGCGACGAAAAGCCATGATCTTGGCATCTACTGTGCTTTCTAAGCTTCTGCTCGGGGCTGGGTCATGGCCGCCTTTGAATAAGCGTGAGGAGAGACTCTTCGATGGCACCCTTTGGAGCTTGTACCGGAGCGTTCTGGGCATTAAATTTGCCGAGGACCAGCACATCACCGCATCCACGTGCTTTGCCCTGCTTCAGATGCCAGACCCTGGGGTGACGCTCCGCTGCTCACGACTGTCGTACTTGGCCCAAATGTTGCGTGCTGCCCCTGACCCCCTCTGGGCTATTGTCAGAGCCGATCAGCCCTACATGGAGCTTTTGTGGCAGGACCTCAGCTGGCTTTACGCTTGGTGCCACTGTACCATGGATTGGCCCCACCCTCGTGCCGATTGGGGCTCATGGGCGACGGGCATTGTGCGTTTCCCAGGTAGATTCAAGGGTTTCTGCAAACGCGCCAGGCTCTTGACAGTTTACCAGCACACTGTCCGAGCCGCCCTCGATGGGCTTCATCGAGCGCTCTGTATCATATCCAATACCCGCCCAGACGCTACCGCTGATTCTGCTGGTACAGAGCATACCGAGCTCTGTCTGCCGTGTCGACGCAGCTTCCCCTCCTTGGTCTCATGGTCGGGACATGCTGCCCGTAAGCACGGGTACCGCTCTAGAGCATATTTGCTCCCAAGTGACTGTGTCTGCCGAGGTTGCGCCAAGCTTTTTGCCTCGCGCCACCGGCTCCGTCGTCACTTGGTGACGAGCCAGCAGTGTGTTGCCAACTGGGGTGCCTTCGACCCCGCAAGCAGTGAGCTTCAATTGCAAGGACACCCTTTAGCTCCCCCAACGGTTACCCGCGGTGCTTGGCGCCAGGTTAGCCACGGCATGGAGGAAACTGACTTCTCCCCCACCCTTCTTGCTTCCCTTGAGGAGCTCGATGGCTGTACTGAAGAAGAGGTGTGGGAAGTTGTCGAGGGCGTCATTGAGCCCTTGGCGGTTCTACGCGCCACTGTCCTCTGCTGGAGGAATGCGCACCCTGCCTCAGAGTGGCATGCCATGGTTGCGGAGAATGTTCTGCTCCTCCTGGACCCAGCCGTGCTTGCTGATTCCAAACAAGCGACCAAACCTCGCCCCCCTAAACGTTGGGACGTGCCGCCTGAGTGGACTCTGCCGGGAGCAGCCCCCCTTGCTTCGACTGGGGAGCGTGTGACAAGAACCGTCGCAGCTCCACCGCCTGCCGTTTTGCCACCCTACGGCCCACAGTCTATGCCGATTCGACTGGCATCCGCTTACGCCCTGTGGCTTCAAGACGTCACTAGGACTCTTGCGGAGGTCACCAGTCTTGCGATTCAGCAACCCGTATCGTTGCAGTGCAGGGGTTTCGCAAAGGCCATAGGCGTTGGGGCTGACTGGCTCACAGCCACCGGGTTCGAGGTTTGGGCAGATGGTATGGGCTCCTGATTTCACCCTGTTTCACCGGAATTCATATGCTAGGCGAGCGACAGCAGATGTCACTACCGCAGCGAATGGAAAAAAATTGTATATCAGATGTATATTATTTGTACATACATCTTCATGTTTTGGTATATTTATTGTATGTATACTTTTTTGGTATATCATATGTATACTATACAAACCCCAAGCCCTAAACCCTAAACCCCCTAGACCCTAAACCCTAAACCCCAAACCCCAAGCCCCTAAACCCTAAACCCCAAACCCAAAGCCCTAAATCTTAAATCCTAAACCCTAAACCCTAAACCCTAAACCCTAAACCCTAAGCCATGGTGCTGTTAGCAGGGCTTAGGGCCATGAGCTGAGGTTCCTCTGGCTCTCCTCGGAAGTGAAGAACGCGAAGTACAAGGCTCCCCTAGGGTTTAGGGTTTAGGGTTTAGGGTTTAGGGTTTAGGGTTTAGGGTTTAGGGTTTAGGGTTTAGGGTTTAGGGAATTTTGGGTTTCGGGTTTTGGGTTTAGGGCTTTGGGTTTAGGGCTTCGGGTTTAGGGTTTCTGGTTTAGGGTTTAGGGCTTTGGGGTTTGAGGCTTCGGGCTTAGGGTTGAAGTCTAGGGTTTTTAGGGTTTAGGTTTTTTAGGATTTAGGGCTTAGGGTTTTTAGGGTTTGGGCTTTAGGGTTTAGGGTTTAGAGGGCCTAAACCCCTCAATTCATCTAAGCCCTAAAGCCCTAACCTCCTCTAAACCTTAAATTCCTCTAAAAACTCTAATCCAAACCCTAATGCCCTAAACCTTCAGATTCCTAAACCCCCACATTCCTTAAACCCCTAAACCCCTAAACCCCTAACCCCCTAGACTCCAAGGCTCCTGTTCATGACTGGCTGGCGCGGTTCAGCTACCCCTTCCGCTCTGGGGATCCTCGGAACAACGTTTCAGCCTCGAGAGGGGGCCCTGGAAAGGCTGCGGAAAAGTGGGGGTGTCGGGTTAAGGGTTTAGGGTTTAGGGTTTAGGGTTTAGGGTTTAGGGTTTGGGGTACTTTCGTTTTGAGGTCCCAACTCTGACTCTCCAAATCATCAGGATCCCACTCTCTACAGGATCCCGAAGCCTTAAAACCCTTCTGTGTTTGGGTCCCGTGCTTTCCAAAAACTCCCATGTAAGGAGAAGGTCGGCTTCAATGCCATGCACAACGTCCAGTGGCAGGAGGACCACAAAACCCTAAACCCTAAACCCTAAACCCCAAACCCCGAAACCCCTAAACCCCTAACCCCAAACCCTAAACCCTAAACCTTCGAGAGCCCTAGACTAAACCCTCATCAGCCTCAGCCCTGCAACCCCGTGCCCGAACCCTAAAGCCTTCATAAGCCTTAAACCCCAAAGCCCTAAACCCTAAAGCCCTAGAGAACTAAACCTCGAACCCTTCATCCCTTCATCCTACAGCCCGGCACCCTAAGCCCTAACCCTGGGATACGTCTTGGGATCACCAAAAAGTTGGTGGTGTACCCAATGCCTAATTTTGTCCAATCTAACCTAAAAACCTTAAACCCGGAACCCTAAACCCTAGACCCTAAACCCGGAACCCTAATCCATTGCTTTAGCCCACCAGGACCAAAGCCTCGTCTACACATCCTTCGCCAAGCCAGACCCGAAGGATCAGAAGGAGCAGACCGAGGAGGCTAAGGATACTTAAAGGGTTTAGGGGTTTAGGGTTTAGGGTTTAGGGTTTAGGGGTTTAGGGTTTAGGGTTTAGGGATCATGGGACTTAGTAGCTAGGTTATACATACTTACTTAGAAACGCCAATTAAGGTGCTTATAAACTAGGGTTATACATAATTACTTATAAACCGCAATTAAGGTGCTGATAGCCCTACTTACTAAGTCCCATGATCCTTTAAGTACTAGGTGGCTTTGTCCCGGAAGGACATAGTGTTTGTCCTCACAGATACTGTATGCCCTGTAAGAGTAGTGCCTTCCCGTGCCTCAGAAGCGTCTGGAGTGCCCTGTATCAGGCTGGCTCTACTGGTGATGCGCAGGGTGAACGCAGCAGGAGAGGCTACCCCAAAGTGATTCTGCACTAGCTTAGCTGCATCCCACCCCAAGCCTCTTAGTCCGTTGAGCACGAAGCGTCGAGACCCTAAAATCTACAGCTCAGAGGTCTAATTAAGTTAAAAAGCATTCCGACGGCACTGCGAGGAGTGAAGCCCATGAGCTCCGCCTGAAGGCCGAATCGTGGGTTGTTGTAGCGCAGGGTTTAGGCAAATCTTGAACCTCATATCTATAGATATACATACATAGACATATATACACGTATGTCTGTGTGTGTGTGTGCGTGCATGTATGTAT